GTGCTGTTTGAACAGAGGTGCAGGACTTTGTATGTCAGTGACAAATGAGCACACACTAAGTAAAAATGTGAGGGTTTTTATTATATATGTATGTATTTTTTACCTGTCTATTTCTAAAAGCTTTTATTTTGCAGAATCACTGGTTTGACTATAGGTGTTTTTCTGTTTTATGTTTTTTAAATGCAGTAAATCCCATGAGTTCTTACTATATAAGCACAGAGAGGTTTGAAGGCGTTGGTTCCACAGACGTACAGGTGAGTCTCATTGTATCGCTGCAGAAAGCGGATGTGGTTGTAGCACTCGGTCTGCATAGAACAGAGAAAAACAGGTTATTTCTGGCTTTACAACAAAGGAAGATAAAGGGAACATAGACTAGTCAAGCCACTTTATGCAGAGGGGCTATTTTATGTCAATAATTCAGAAATTAGTGTGATCTCTCCCAAATCTCCAGCTTCTTTTCTCTGGGTTGATGAAGAAAGTGAAAGGATTATCTGCTTTGTTGCTGCCATAAGCAATCTACACATCGCAAAGTGGAACGGTTTCATCTTGTTCTCCGATAATAACTCAATAAACAGATACCTGAGATTTTTCTGGGAAGAAAACCAGTGCAGCTGCAGCCTCGTACCTGATTGTCTCTGCCTTTGTTTAGACACTGCTTCTTCTGTTCAGGAGAAGCATCCCAATCAATCTGCAAACAATGGGAGGGTAATAAGGATGACTCAGTTAGCTCAATAAATAAAGAGGGACAAATAGATAAATAAAAGCTCTACAGACAGACAGGAAATGGAGAGATAAAGAGAAGAAAACAAGTGTGTACGTGTGCGATAAACAGGAGGAGAGACAGCGCACTTAATTTTCTGGCTGCATCGCCGAGTTCTGACTCTCTTCAGTAACCCTTGAATAAATGCCTGGTGCATTTAATCCGATATCCATAAAATTGGACGAACACAATGGGATTTGTTCAATCTGCTTAAGGCTATTATTAGTTTCTCCTCCTTCTACACTGAGGAGATGGGAGGAAAACTTGCGAAATGGGGTTCGCTGCCTCTTTCTAAACAGTGGCGACGTGTGGCTCGCGGCGTCTCGACACTCACGCTGAGGTTTGCCGGGGTGGAGATGTTGGAGATGTTGAGAGCGTACAGAGCGCCTCTGCCTCCCACGTACAGCATCCCAGTGTCCTCCTCCAGCAGCAGGGTGCTGAAGTTCATGGAAGAGCCGGTGAAGCGAGTGCTGCCCAGCATACCTGAAAAACATGACATTTGGTATAATGACAAGGGTCTCTTCTTTGTAAAGGCCAAAACTATGTGTGTTAACTACCCTATACATATGGACTGGTGCTTGTTTCCCATAGTTTAGATTAGTTTCCTGCATTGTAAAATCACTTCAAGTTCATTCAGCCGAGAAAAATACGTTTTTCTGCTGCCTTGAAAGTTAACTGCACTTTGGTTAATTAATTAGTTCAAAGTAATCTTGTTATTTTTGTGAAAGTGTAAAACTAACTGCTACTTAACTTAAGAAACCAAGTTCAATAAACTTAAGATGCCAAGCTGAATCACCGAGTCACGTATACAGTGGTTTCAGACTGACTTCCTGTCACAGTTTCTAGGTTTAAAGAGTTTCTTCCTCATTTAACTTTCCCCACTGAAAATGTTTTGACCACAATCAGACAATCTGTGAGGCTGCTCCCGATGTAGGGATTGAATTCTAATCTTTGTCATGGTTACAACTGTTTTGATTCTCAGGAAAAGAAAGAGCCACAAGATAATTTAACATGTATTAAAGTCACACAGCAAGGGTCCATCATGTCTGTCCTCCCAAACTATATAAAAAGAAGCGTCTCTGAGGTGTTTTAGCTCTTGAAAATGCATCCTGGGAGATTTTCTTATATGTTAGTTTAGCTACTTATAAACTCAGTTTAATGAGTTGAGCGAACTCTCTTCTATTCATCCATTCAACTCGTTATTTTAGGTCAACAAGCCTCAAGTTATAAGAGTTCATGTTTCTATGTTATAAAGTGGTCTGAAATGATTAGACATTTAAAGTAGGGGTGTCCTGATATTTAATGTTTAGCATCCCCCGATACTTGGAGCTATTTTGCTACGTAATCAAACACTTCAGGTAGAGTAGATTAGTTGTAGTAACTGGTTGTTGCACCAGGGGGATCCTCTTACTGTTTAATACAGCACTTAGTGTACTTTTTGTGTTTAGGGTCGGGACATCCCTAGCTTTAAGTTCTATTAAATTTAAAAAATGGCAAGCTAATATATGTCCATGACAAAATTCTGTGTATGATGTTTTATAGTGTAAACAGTTTAGTGAACTGTCAGATTATACTGAACTATTTATATATCAGGTTCATGCAATCTTGCGATATTTCTGATTTTGATCATTCTGAACAATGTTGAAAATCAAAGGTGGCCAGAATCATTTATACTCTTTTGGTTATTTTATCTATAAATCCTTCCTCCGGAAATTATGATCACGGCGCAAACCACAGGGGAGCTAGTAGGGGCTTGGCTCCTCTAAATAAGACATGAGCCACCGACAGAAAACATAATCTGTGAAATTTTGCAGGGGGTTGCTAAAATATTGACAGCACGCTTTTCTTTTTTTTTCTTTTTTTTTTTTGCAGCACATTTCCATCTCTGTGTATCCTCATCACCATGGATTATATGTAAAATTAAGCTATTACTGATGGATGATTCATGCATGAGGGCGATTCATCACTAATGCACTTTAATAAATGTACCGACATGTATGCTCTTCTCGCAATCATCCTCAAAGAGTGGTGACACAATATAAATAATGAACTTCGCTCACTTTAATTTAAAGATCAGAAAAAAACGTTTACGCCCACTACCATAAAACGAAACCAAAGAACAACCCTAACCTTGTGTTTCTGAAAGCAGGCAGCAGCTGTGATTTTTCATCTGTTTCCTTGTTCTTGTTATTTATATTACTAGTAACTCTCTGTTGCCTAAAACACCCTGGCAGGTTTGAAAGGCATGTTATCTTTATGCACAATTTATCAGAGCAAGTAACTGTAAAAACAGAAAGAATCATGGAATTTTCAGCTCTCTGACGGTCTTGGACTAATCATGGGTGACTCACTATTCTGTGGGAATATCATCCAAATCTAAGCTTAAAACTGTGATATTTAAAATCAAATCAAATTTAAGATATTGAAGATATTAAGATATTCAACCAAAATCCTTTTACTCTACTGGTTCCTTTTTAAATTTGTCAAAAATAAACCTTTTCACAAACCAGATGCTATTAAAACAACAACAACAACAAAACAAATTGGTGCTCATTAGCACAACTGAGGAGCCATAAGTGACTAATTAGTAAGAGCAAATCAAAAAATACTTGAGCTATAAAATAAATGCAGCATGGCTCAAAAATGGTATACAAAGGAGCAATTTGTCAGCAAGTTGTTGGAAGATACATTGAGCATGGTGAAAAGAGGTAAAGAGAGAAAGAAATTCAACTGAATGATTAATGGCATCGTAAGTGTGTCACACTGTACAGAAGACATTTTGAGTTCTTTCTACCTCTAGTCATGGTTGTGCTGTTTTCATAGAGGTGCGGGAGTTTATATTGCAGTGAAAAATGAGCCCACAGTGAATAAAAATATCACAAGAGCAAAAATAAACACCCAGAAACTACTTGAGGTTTAGAGGGTTAATATGAATAATGATAAATAAAAGCTAGAAGTAAAGATTGATAAATGCTTTTTGTGTTTTCTGGCTGCAAAAAATGAAAATGTGAGCACCTTTGAAAGCTAATGTATGTTTTGCATACTGATATTAAACATATATATACTGTAGGCAAAAATATGTGGACGATTGGAGGTCCAGCAGTTTTGGAGCAAGACCTATGAAAGGGACTAGAAGTTAAAATGTGTTACTGACTAATTTAGATAATTTCATTCATCTTTATTAAGGCCCACGTGTTTAGAAACAATAAATACAGATGTATTTGATAAATGTGCCTTATTTTGCCCAGTGAAAATCAAAACTAAGATACTAAAAAGTGTAGTTTTGGCAAAAAGAATCAAACCTAACCAGGCCCTATGTCAGGCCACAGCTCCAAATTTATACCTGCAGACCTAAAGAATAGCTTCGAATAAGAGCTTTTATCTTAAATTTCACACTCATTGGATGATTTCCCAGAATCCACACGCTCCAAATGATCATGCTTAGCGTGACTGTCTGAGGGTGAGACTTCGCTAGCAGATCTGGAAGATGGGGGGTCGCTGGAGTGATTGCTGAGAGGACTGTGGGGGCAGAGGGTGGGGATGTGGGGGGGCACAGGGGAGGCAAAAAATTTCAGGGCATTCAGCAGGAATCGTGGCCCAGTAATGCCACATCATATCAGCAGTGCTGCCATAGCATCAGCACATCACCGCTGTGTGTGTGTGTGTGTGTGAATGAGGGTGAGGGGAGATTCATACAGTAAGTGGGCCAAACAGGGGTTACTGGAAAATCACTGGAGTGTATGTGTTGATAAACTGGTGGACAGGTTTTATTAATCCGTCACCGGTACGGACAAAGACATTATTTATCCATCGCAAACTAATTGGCCTGGTGCACTAAACTAAATATTTGAAAGCGCCCCGTCGTGGCACCTCAGAAATGGGGGCACGCTGCTGCTTCTGCTGCTGCTGTTGCTGCTGCGAGACAACGAAAAGGAGGGCATTGTTTTTTTATCCTGTGGGTACGAAAGAGCTCCCTCTGTGCAGAAGTAGGTTTACAGAGCTCCGGTTTGCTCTCAAAGTCAGTGATTAATGTCTGATTAACTGAATCTGACGTACAGGAGAATCAAACCCCGCGTGCAGCAAGGAGCAGCTGTCATCGCAGAACAACGGGGTAAGTGAAGGTATCAACACTGTTACACTGAGGAATATGAGTCAGCAGAGTGCAGATGGGCATATTAATCCTCGCACATCCTCTCCCACCTCCCTCGCCTTCTTCTCTCTTGTACTGATGTCCCCGCGCCCAGTAATCAGACAACCTATATTAGTCCCCTCCCGCCAATCGATTCACTGTGGTGTGAGGGCCCTGCACGCTTGTCGCAGTTAATCTGTTTGCCTGTTCATTGTACCTCTGATGGAGCGAGAAGGGTCCAGTGCAGCAGAAAGGGGCCGGAGGACCACAGTGTAACAGCTGGAAGTGTACAGATGATTAGCCAGCGATACAAGCTCAAGTATTATATTATTTCATATGCCACAGTTCATAAATTTCCCTAAAATGTGTTGAATTAGATCAGCGTTTGTGGTAATTTGGTGCCACTTGAACGGTGAATGAGGCCAGTCTACACTAATGCAGCCACGCAAACTCTAAAAAATAGGTGATTTCAGTCATAGTGGAGTTCAACTCAACAGCCTCAAAACATGTTATTCGATTGTTTTCTGACTCCCTTCGACTTAAACCTACTGTGATTGCCTCAGAGAGCAAATTCAAAACACACAGCCACATAAAAACATATATAGGTGGCAATATAACAGAACTTGGAGAAGATCCCAACAACATCATACGAAAAACCAATAATCAGTGGAGTCTTCCTTTAACATTTGATAACAGCATGAGAGATAAAAGAGTTTCCAACCCATTACACTGGGCTTTTGGTGCTTCATACAAAGGGAAGAAGATCAAACTCTCCATACAGAGGATGAAGAGGACTCCCTGAAATGACTCGAGCCTTTTGAAACAGCTTTTTTTTTTGTGAGATCATAGATCAGGAAATGATTCTACTGGCTGCTTTAACGACGTGGCACCATCTGTTCTAGTCAGCTTATTATGGTATCAGTTAAACTACTCTGCGGTTGAAAGGGAGGCATTCGCTTTGATCCATTCTGCGGGGTTTTGAAGAGTATGTGGGGTCCGAGGTGAAACCAGTGGTGGTCCACGCTGACCACAACCCACTGGGCTTTCTGCACAACCTGCGATGCCATAACACCAGAGGCTGATTAATTGGTCACTGTACCTGCAGTCTCATAAACTAACGTCCAACTCGGGAATCAGTTTTGGACTAATGGCTAGAAAGTTTATCTGAATATCTCCTGCTATTTCGTCTGCATCTCTTTAAAGACCTTCATATAGCCTTAGAGAGTGGACTACTTTTATACATACATTAATACAGTTGATCACAGCATCTTCCTACAGAGAATGGAGCATGTCATTGGGATTAAAGGAACCGCACTAAACTGGTTTGAATCATATTTATCAGATTCCAGTTTGT